CAGCAAATTGACAAGATTGATGACATCTAGCCTAGGGGAATGATCACCGAAGTATCACAAGATGAAGCGCTACACCCCCAAGCACCCAAATCAGCGAATTGACAAGATTGATGACATCTAGACTAGGGGAATGATCACCGAAGTATCCTAGGATGAAGCGCAACACACATAGGCATCCAAATCAGCAAAATGACAAGTTTGATGACATCTACACTCGGGGAATGATCACCGAAGTATCCAAAGATGAATCGCAACACACACAAGCATAAAAAAGACAAGATTTGGAAGGAGGGAGTAGATGAAGAAGGGGGAGGAGGAGAGGGAGAGGAAGGAGAGGAAGAAGGAGAAGGAGAAGAAGAGGAGAGAGAAAGAAGAAGAAGAAGGAGAAGAAGAAGAAGAAGAAGAAGAAGAAGGGGAGAAGAAGGAGAAACTTCCTCCTCTTTCACTCACCTCTCACTGGTTTCTAGTCAATGGGCTTCCAGGCTTGGTTCTAGCTCCTTGAGTATAGCTTTCCCACCTCCCCAAGTTCTCTCCTCCTTCTCTCACACCTCCTCCCAGGTTATGGCAAGCTCCTACCTCTAAGGCTATGGAGTCCTTTCCTCTAGGAGGGCTATGGGGACCCCTTTTAGCCTCTCCTTCTACCTCACAGCCTGGGGGCTATGGCGGATCACTTCCCTTGCTTCTCTCTAGCCTCTAGGCCTTCTCCCTTAGTCCTATCACCATAGCCAGGCTCCAGGCTAGCTCCGGCTCTCACTTCCTTGCTCTACTCCACTAGGACTCTCWCATGGACTCATTTGGGCAGCATGGGCTCCTCTCATGCTCAAATGAGAGTGGCGGCCTGCATTCTCAGCTTATGTAGGCTGGAACTGGTGCACCGCCCAACCCCTAGGCCTCCCCAAGTGCCTCTAGGTGGAGCGAGGTACCCCCAAGGCCAAATTTCCGGTTTTGGCCTACATGGAGGTAACTGGGCCTCATTTTGGTCAAGTGCATGCAGTCTGAGTGGCTGGTACCCTCTCGGACTACCCCTTGGCCTACCCCGGCCTCTCTTTACTTCAAAAAGAGCTGCCCTTTGGGGTACCACTTCCCAAAATGCAGCCTTTACTGAAATTTGAGGGCCTAGAGACCCATTTTTCGTCTTTTTCTTGGTCTAGGCCTCTTTTGGGTAGGCCGTTGCATTTTTTAAGTGGCGGCTCCAATCTCAGCCTTGGATTTGGCTGAGATCCATGGTTCTCATCATTCCGAGCCACCCCAAGCTCCCCTTGGCCCACATTTGAGCCTTTTACTTCAATTTTCAATTTTCTTGGTGTATCTAGCCCTATCCTTGGGCCAAATACGCAGTTTTGTCTTGTTCCTCTCTTTGTTTTCCCTCCATTTTCCTGCCAACTCATTTCGGAGCTAGGCGTTCTGTGTCAGGCCACAAAAAATGGCTAGATCTCCTCCTCCGCAAGACCAAATTTCAGATCTAGGGCCCAAAAATGAGCCGGCCAACTCACATCAGCATTTTTTCTTTATTTTTGCTGCTTAAATTCAGATATTGCAGAGATAATGCCCTAAGGATCTTATCTCTGCAATCCGGACTGCCCTCCTAGGATCTAGGAGGGATGAGGTCATCATTGAGACCTGCCAGTCCCTACCGCTGCAATCCCAACCTGGCGGCACTTTTTCCTCCACCCATTCCTCCTCCTTTGTCTCATTCTCCCCCCTTTTTTTTCCCTTTTTCCCTCCTGTCTCTTTTGTTTGCTGTTGGGACAAGTGTCCAACAACTATTTCTCCTCTTTCTGGCTGTTGGACCTTTCCCAAGGCCGGATTTTGCAGCCGGTATATGGCCGTTACACCTCGGACTACAGTAGTGGCACCCCCAAGGTCCAAGGAGGCTCCTTTTTGCTGCCGCCGCTTCCAATTTGAGGACCCCTTGCTCCGATTCCAGCCTTTTCTCCACGTGGAGCCCTCGAAACTTCGTTTTTCTTGGCCTGGCTGGTCCGGAATAACCCGGACTGCTGGCCAGCCTCCTCATTACCACTATTCCCTCCTCTTTTTCCCTTCGGCACCTCCTGTCGGCGCTTGCTGCGACGGTACTTATCATTTTCATCCGGACCCCTGGCCCGGGCGGTCCCGGCCACCTGATATTATGTTATTTTATTTTTATCGTTGTTGCACTTGATCCAGGGTCCCCTTGGGTCGTCCCAGGTGCCCTCCGCCTTTCCCGTCTCACGCCAGTCTCCCCCATTCCATTGACAATTTTTGTCAGCACCCGACTTTTCCTCTTTTTCTTATTGTTCCTAGCCCCTCCCCTTTTTCCGGCGTCATCCCGGGTGACGACCCGCTCTCGCGCGCCACCCCCCCCCCTTGGGCTGGTCGCCAATTATCCCGCCGAGGGCTCCGACCTTCCGCCTCCGTCAGTGGCTCCTGACACTTTATCCCGCCGATACCCATCCTACTAGTGGTTCCGCTGGCGCCGCCATTTTTGTCTAGGCCCACGCGGTCCCTGACACTTGTCCCACGGTAATACCGTATTTTCGCCTGGTTCCAGGTGATTCCCGACACTTTGTCCCGCCGGCACCATATCTTTTCTTGGTTCCTTGTGATCCCCGGCACTTTGCTCCGCCGGTACCACGTCTTCCCTTGGTGCTCCTGACATCCTTCCGCCTTACGACGATCTCCGCTCCCCGTTCCTCTTGCGTCCCGCATGCCGTTCTGTTCCGAGTGTCGGCTCCTACCTAACCCGCGGCCTCCTTGGCCTTCTTGCCGTCGTGTCACGTCAGCGCCTTGCGCCCTGTCCCTTCCTACTTCCTTCCCTTGTTGCGCACCTCCTAAGCTACTACCAACTTCATGGCAACCCTTCTCCGTCGTTGGGGAAAGAATCACCCTTGCTATTCTCTCACGGTCCTTTGCCGCTTCCTGCTTAGACAGTTCCTTTCTAGTTTTGGCTGTCTTAACGACTCTGGGCAGCCTCTAGCTTCCTACTGTTTGTGCCCACGCTTTCGATCTTTCCCGCATTCCTGCCTCCGGTTTTCTTTGCCGTGCACAAATTGGTCATATACAGTTTCTCGAGTGTCGGGAAATCATTTGGGACTCACCAGTCCCGACACCGTACTCTTACTGCCAGCTAGACACTGCCCTCTCTGTCACACACGAACTACCTCGATTTTCGTTGACTTCGGAGACTCCCCCTCTCTTACACGTGTCTCTCTCCTTTGCCTTTCACTTCAACTGTCCCGCGGCCTCCGGGCCTTCGCTGTCGCAAGCTGACTTCGGGTCCATCTTCCACAGGTCCAGCGGGTGGGTGGTCCCGTCGCCATTGGTCCAGCCCATGCCAGGACTGGGTTCGAACCTCCCGGTCACTCTCCTCACTCTCCGCCTCCGTACCGTGATCTAAGTGTCGTTGTTCCCTATTGGCCGTGTCTGTTGAGGTCCCTCTCTCGAAATATAAGACGGTCACTTTCATTTCGTTCGTGACCCCGCCCCTCCTGCATCTTCTTTCAGCACGGTCCCTGCCTCCGTAATGGCCACAACTGCAGTCTCTGGTCTGACCTCATCTCCTCCTCTTTCCCCCCTTCTGCATTTATCTTCAGCCTTACCTCCAGATTGCAGTAACTATAGTCCAGAATAGCAGTCACCACAGGCCCCTCACCTGACATTCGCTCCCACCTCCAGATGTACTGGAGGTACTGAGGCCTATAGCCGCATAGCCCATTACTCCGCACCATAGCCACAAGCTCGCGGCCCGTAGTGTCAACGTGCCTAGTGCACGAGCACTCAGCCAGCCTCCTTTTGCAAACACCCAGCAGTTTTCCCGTTCTAAATCAGTCCACCAACCATCAGCACGGCGAAGGCCCCTAAGCGCCCCTCCAGCCAGTAACCAATGACTCATCCGTCTCGTCCTTTATAGGCCCGCCACTCACTACGGTCCCTACGTTCTAAACGAAGAGCTCGTACAACTTCTCCCCTTTGTCTTTTTTTTTTTTTGTTGAATTCTGCATTTTTGCGATCTGTAAATACAAGAAATAATAATAAAATGAGACAAAAATAAATAAAGAGCGAAAACGAAACGCTGAACCTCAACGGTCATAGCAAAAGCGGCTCTTTTAGCTGCCAGTCATTAGTCCTTTTAGTTTTGGCATAAAATGACAGTGAGCTCGTCGCAGCGGTCCCATAACGGGATACGAGCGTACGCCTTCCGCCTTTCAAAAACAGAGTGTCGAGCTATCCCAAATGGGTACCAGTGTCCGATGGTAAGGAGGGGACTCATGACCCTCTGCAGGGTGATGAGTCTCCTGCCAATGCGGCCGCGGGTGCTTCCATTTTGTGGGATATTTTGCCACCCCCTTACCGGTCAAGCTCACCGCGACTGAAGCGGGAATGTTGGGTAACTAGGCAACCCATAGGCTACCACAGATCTCGAAGACAGATCGTTAGCCCCCTTGTGAACGCCACAACAATAATAATATCAACAATAATAATAATAATAATAATAATAATATTCATAAAAGGAAAGGGTTTATAACGCCACAACGGCCAAAACCGTTGAATTACCCGGGTCCAAATCAGCACAGGCCTGACGCACAGTTTCCTTTTCGCTTTTTATTTTTATTTTTATTTTATTTTTCCTTCCCTAATCCAAAGTGCGTGCACTTGACCCATAACTTAGGGAAAAGGCGCCTGACGCGCAGTAGAAAGGACAATGCCGGTCCGTCTACTTTCGCGTCCCTGGGCGAGCCCGACGGCTACCGCGGCCACAGGCCGGTAGTGCTCTGCCTGTGGAGCAGGGCGCCGAGCCTGCGCGGTCCAATGGAAAGTACAGCGGCGCACCCCCATCCTTTTGCTAAAGTGAGCGCC